GGCCTAAGGTGCCAAGCAGGATGATGCATCTAACTAGGTACTATATTATGAACGCATGGCTTACCCTTCATGTTTATGAAGTGACGAAGAGAAGTAACCACACTGTTTCTCACTTATGTGTGAGCAGATGATGAAGACAGGCCAAGGTTCCATGCAGGAGGTTCATGTGTCCGAAGGCAGATGAAGAGTTAAATCGAAGCCCATGCTGCCGCTCAAGGTGCTTCCTGCTCATTGCCCATTTGTGCTTGTTCAGCGTGTCATGCCCGTCTCAAATAAATTTGCTGGTGGTCCAGTATTAGTAGTCTTCTTCTTTAAGTTCCCATTTTCTCTTCGGTAATAAGGGTTTCCTTTGCTGAGGGAAACATCATTTACTTATCTACGTGTGTTGCTTTGTTCTTCTGAATGCAGCTACTTATTTCAATGCAATGAACTATCGTTCTTGGTGATTCATTTGCATCCTTTATTGGGCTTTGTTCTCTGGTGCCAGCAAGATCGATCTTATTATTGTTTATTTGAGGAAAATGCTATAGATATTTGTTCATTTCACAAGGTGAGAAGGAGAAAAACCAGTGAATTAGAAAGAAACCGTGCACCCTTTCCTTCAGTACTATGTCATGAGTTCTTATTATCTCTTGCTTAAACAACCTTATTCACACAATATGCCACTAGCAATTGTTTCATTCTTATTTGTTTCTGATAGCTCTGACTTTGTCTGTGAATAGCAAAACAGGAGATATAATGACTCCATGGAGTAGTCAACACAATGAGAAGTAGTACTATCAATAATTCTGAGGTTGCTCTATCATCAGTGCCCAGTGACAATACATGTCGGCAGGAATCTTTCGAAGAGATGCTCAGATGAATCAACATCATTCCCCGAAGTGATGATGCAAGTAAAACTCGGAATCTTTTTGCCACTTGTTAAGAAGAACATGGTCACCAAAAGCAATAAAGATATTGATACTGTTATCGGTCGTCTCAAGAACTCCAGCCATTGGAAAAAGGTTCAGTAGTTTTAATTTGATTTTATTTTTTTGATGGCTTAGGATTTAGATTAAGGAACCATTGATGAATTAGGATTAAGATTTATAAATCTTAATTATTAGTGAATTAAAATTTATCTTTATAAATTCTTAAAAAATCTCAAAGTCTTATCGAGAGAGATATGCTTCCAGTGGAAACTTTAAATAGTTAGAATACTGTACTATTTTGATTAATTATTTTATCCAAATGTATTTAAATATTTTTATATGGGTACAAATGTCAAAGTCAATTATAGAGATATAAAACACTGATTCTGAACGGATTTGTGTGCAAATTTGTCATATAAATAGATATGAAAATAAATGTTAAACTCAGAGGGATAAAGATAAAACAATCATTGATTTGGGAGGGATATGTCTGCAATTTGTTATACCAATTACTAAATACACCAAAAATAAGCAAATAAATGTTAAATTCAAATTTAGAGTGATAAATATAAAGAATCATTGATTTTGGAGGGATATGAATGTAATTTTGTCATATCAATAAATAAATAAACAAAAAATAATAAAATACATGCTTAACTCAAATGTAGAGTTAAATTGATTCTAACGAATATTTATGTAATTTTATCATATAAACACAATATCAAAAGGATAAATATTTTTACTTGTGCAAATTAAATTCTCAAGTCGATCGAGGGGAAAAGTCAATGACACCTGAGTTAGCTCGACATAGTTCTAGTCCGTGTGTATGAGAGGGATGACTGAGCCACTGATGTATCTTAAGAACTCTTTCGACGGCTAAGGTGGATCCCAATTCGATCTCTCTAATACTTAAATTAGTTTGGATATGAATAGAATAAATTTAGTAAATAATATATAACATTGGTAATAATATAAATAATAACTTTTAATATTAGGTAAAAGAGGGAGAATATCTTATAAAATATTTTTTAGTAAGAATAACTCTTGATCGCTCCTTTTGGACTGATATCCATATTGATAGACAATGGGATAGTTCTTTTCTTATTTATGCCAACCATGCTATCACATATATAGCCATGTGCTGAGTTATTATTGGTCGAGAAGATTTCTTGTATCATTTATTCCCAATGAAGGTGCACTTTGAGAACTCTTCAGGTCTAGAAGTGTAGTAATTGAGTAAGCACATACACTATGTGGAAATGAAGGGGATCCCATATATTTGATCGACTTGATTAGATGAGAGTTAGTTGACTTGGTCGGGTTAGGCACTAGCCGACTTAGTTGCCTTGTGCACTTAACAAGGAGGTTGGGTGCTGGTTGACCTAGTTGCCTTGGGCGCTCATCGAAGAGGTCGGGTGCTATCCGACCTGGTTGGGTTGGGGACTTACAGACATTGTCAATTTGGATTCTTGTCGAGGAGGTCAAGAGCTAGCCAACTTGGTTTGGTTGGGAATTGGTTGATCTGGCTACCTCGGATGCTCGTTGAGAAGGTCAAAATCTAACCAACCTAGTAGAGTTAGGGGACTAGCCAACCTAGTCAACTCAGACACACGTCGAGATTAGGAGTTTGCTGACCTAGTCAGGTTGAGAACTAGCTGACTTGGTTGCCTTGATTGCTCGTCAAGGACGTTAGGAACTATTTGACCTGATCATCTTAGACACTCGTCGAGGTGGATGTCTTGGGCGTTCACTAGATGGACACTTTGGATGCTCGTTGAGGAGGTCATCCTAGGAATTTATCGAGGTGGTGATTTTGCAAGCTATGCCTTAGGAGATTATTAGATCCTCACTAAGGGAGGGCACATTGGGTGCCATTGAGATTCTCACCCTAAGAAGGGTGCATCAAGTATTGTTTGGATACTTATCCCAATGGAGACATATCAGTTGCCCCTTAAGATACTCACCTTGAGAATGGTACATTAAGTGTTATTTGAATGCTCACCCTAAGAGGGACACGCCGGGTGTTGTTGATATGTTTGTCCCAAGAGGGGCACATTGGACATTGCTTGGATGCTCACCTTGAAAGATGCATGTTGGGTGTTGTTGAGGTGCTTACCTCAAGAGAGACATATTCGGCAATGCTTGGATGTTCAGCATAAGAAGGGTGCATCAGGTGTCGTTGAAATACTCACTCCAAGAAGGGTGCATTGGACTTTGGATATTCACCCCAACAAGGGACACATCAAGTATTACTTGGACGCTTACTGTAACACCTCTGATTAGTCCAACATCGAAAGTAGGCATGATTAAGATTAACTTATAAGGGTTTGATAAGTATGCTATTATTAGCTGTAATTTAAGCATTTTGGCTAGTGGATTGGTCAAACGAAGTTGATAAATCAATTAGCCTATTAGGCTTGGGTCATGAAACCTTACTCCAAAAAGGGCATGTTGAGTGTCATTGAAATACTTACACTAAGAGTGTCCCAGTAGCAAGTACCTCGATTAGGGTCCTCTTCATTTGCACAACTCATCTCATGATCTTCATCGGGGAATTCTGTGTAACTCCAACCTGTAAGCTGTTTTTTCTCTCATACTTGTGCAAAGGGCTCAATGACTACTATCTTAGTCCTTAAGAGGGTTTTAAGGTGAGGGTTTCTCTATTAAATAATAAGTGTTGGAAGGCGCATTTTTTATTCGTAGGGATTGATTGAGATTAGGGCTTTGGCCTTAACTACTTTACACATCCCATAGATAATAGCCCTTTTACTTACCCTTGAAGAGTGCTTTGACTGTAGGAGATACTCTCCTCTTTAGAGGCCATCTAAAAATTGAACGAGGACTAGCTAGTCGATGCAGATCTCAACTCGGCTCCTCGGAATATGATCTGAACCCTCGTTCTCCAATGCTTTATATATTTGATCCATGACTTAGTTTTTTAGACTTTTAAATGAATAGACCTTCGAGCAATGAAAAGATAGGGAGCTATATATTGCAGGAGTGTTAATCTACCGAATCACTCAACAAGAGTTCAAGCGAGGATGCTCCACCCTCTAATCTATAGTACCTTCACTCATGAGAGACAACAACTAGCATTCCTGATCCTTTGTGCATCTATGTCGACACAGACCCCCATATAGTACTAGTATCTATTCAATGACCCAAGTCTCTATTATTTAGTGGGAACCTTAACCGACATGCTCTTTCCCACCAAGGTCTTCCTAAATATAGCTTAACAAGTGTAGACATTGTTGGAAATGATGCAAATTGTGGCCCACTAACATCCTTTATTATGGTGATTGACATAAGTAACTATACTAATATCCTCTATTATGATGTTGTTTAGACATAAGATTTAACGACTAATGATCTTACCCTGATAGCCTTTTCCTTGATGAGGTTCACTAAATACTATCTCTCCCCTCGAGATCGTTAACCTGTACATTATATTCAAAGTCGAGCCTCACATCATATTCAGAGTTGAGCCTTACTCCAAGATGAATCCGACCAAGTTAATGATAGTGGATATACCATCAGTGTTTAATACATGTCGTAGATCGATCGACATTGAACAGACTATGCGTAATGGTGCTAACTTGGGCTTTAGTGAACCCCAAGTTATTACTATCTTCTTGCTTCTCCTATGTGTAGTGGTACTACCATTAGGATAGTGGCACCAAAATGTTATGAGAAAAATCAATGATGCCTAAGGAAGTTTGATGTGGTTTGGGTCAGCATGCCTAAGAGGAGTGAGATGGTTGTTAATGTTTATAAAACTCTTTGAGGGCTAAGGTGGATCTACTCATGTATTTCGACGATTAAAATTGAGTAGGTTTTTCAACTTGATGCTTAAGTTAGTCCCAACATGCATAAGCAAATTTAGAAAAAATAAAAATAACTAATCTCAAATACTATATAAAATGTAGCTTCTTACATTAGGCAAAAGAGGATGAATATTCTATGAAATATTCTTTAGAAAATAATCTAGGATCGTCCATTTTGGGTTGATAGCCACATGGGTAGACCATGAGATATGTTTTGTTTTCTTTATGTCAATAAAATTGTCATATGTACGATCATATATCGAATTATTATTGGTCGAGAAGACTATATATGTATATATATTAATTTTTTTTTCAAAAGTTACATCTTTTTCTTAAATCTCGAAAGAACGATAAGATATTTGTCTCAGGAAAATCTAGTACGTCGAGTGAATTGATTCATTTATAATATTTTTGTATAGGATTATAGTGATTTTTGGATATGTAAAAGATATTCTAACTCTATTAAAAAATAATATAAAATTAAAATTTTATTTTTATTTTCCAATCCAATAAGAATATAATCGTTATTTATTAGTTATAATATTTTTCTCTAAGTTTCCATAGAGGTGAAGTCAATTTTTTTGCATATTTTTATTCTAAAACTAATACAAATATGTATTTAAAACCCTAAAATAATTTATAAAACTTTAATAAATAAAATAATCAATGTTGGTAAGAATTTGAATAAAGTTATAATATTTTTAGTTCAATAATAAAGAAAAAGCTAACCGATTCGATTGAACTAAGATACTGTAGTCCTATTCAAAAGTAGTTTAGTCTAATTAGTTCAATCTAATTGGGTTTCGATGAACAACTTAAAAATTAAATCCTTCAATTATTAGTGAGGTTATTTCTGACATTTTAAGACACCATAAGCTGGAAACGACAATGCCGAAATAAATCTAAAACTTAAACCTTTTTTTCGAGAAATCGCTATTCAATATATATATATATATATATATATATATATATATATATATATATATATATATCTGAAACCTTAAAATAATTTATGAAACTTTAATAAATAAATAAAATTAGCAATTAATATTTATGAAAATTAAATTAATTAGAATTAAATTATAATATTTTTAAATAAAATTATAATTTTTTTAATTCAGTAATAATAAAAAAATATTATTATTATATTAAAAAATTATAATCGTTGAACCCTCGATATTTTTGAAACTGAGGATGCTATCTCGAAAGAATCTAAAACTCGAGATTTTTTTTTTATGAAGTCACTGCTTATATATATATATATATATATATTGTTCCGAGGGCTTTAATGAATGTGAGCCTTTCCAACCAACCCCACAAGACAAAGCGGGAACTATACGCGTCTTGTCCCATATCACGCCACCTGTCCCATCCGAAAGCTGGTTCGCTTTCCCCCAGATATCTCGTGCCATCAGAATAGCAGCTCATCATTAGCACCACCACATCAAATGGTGGCTTAAGCCCACTAAATTAAACCCCTTCCCAAAGCTTCATCGTTGCCGTCATCCTCCTCTGCCAACGTAGTCCACTCGTGCGAACGCCATCAAGAGGAAACCCCGACCCCAATTCCCAGTCCTCGGCCGCTCGATCCAGTATCCACGTCCCGCGTCGATCGCTTCCCTTCCCTTCGATCACTCGGTGATCTTGGAGCGGCGGCAGTGGCGATGTCTCTCCAGCCTCAGAGACCGATTTGTTGCCCGAGAGCGGTCCCGGAGCACACCCGCTTCCGGATTAGGCCGGTTCATGGGCTCTTTTCCCACGTAAGCCGCTTGCCGTCTGAGTCGGAGCTATTTCTCTTGTCACTGGTAGCTCGCGCCTTGTGGTGTTGGGTTACGCAATGATTCTGATCTCAATTCTGGTTCTTGATTTTTTTGAATCTTTGAACTGGTTTGTTCGCTTGTTTTCTCATTTGGTTTACATATTATATTGATTTGCGCGGCCAGACTTCAGTTCTCGAATATGGTTTGCTATTCTGTCCATGTGAATGCCGAATCACTTTCTTTTTCTTGAAAATTGCTTCATTGCAGACTGTGTCTGGAATGATGACGGTTCTGTTTATTCTGATCTTGGGTTATCTTTCTATTTTTGTTCCAGTCAACGTTAGGGTTTCGAGAAGTTACAAGAATCGGGACTACCCCTTGCATGCTGGCAAGTTCAGGTCAGTGGTTCTTGTGTCACTTGAAGTCGAGGACTTCTTTATCTATGTGTAATCTTCATGTTTTCGAGTTGCATTCTGCAGGCAGGCGCCCGAGAAGGACCTTGACTCCCGGGACCAAAGCGTCGACTCGGAAAGGATTTGCACCTAGGCCGCAAGTTGGAACGAGCACTCAAAAGAAAGATCAAAATGACGCTCAAGAAGAAGAAGTGTCTGGAAGTTCTGGTTCTAAACAACCTGCAATTTCTAGCAGCGGAACAACTGATAGAAAAGTTACTGGTGACGCACAGTCTGCTGAAATTGTTCCAACTTCAAGAATGTCAAGCAATCTAGTCAAAAGGAGAATAGATATACTGGAGGAAGCGGAGCAACAAGGCCAGGGGAATGATGAGACAGATCAACAAATTTTCACTGACATGCCTTCTGATTCTACTGACTTTGCTGAAACTGATGGACAAATAGCTGATGTTGGGATTGAAGGAGATGGACTTGGTCTGAGATATAAAAATATTGCAGTTGATCATAGCAACAAAGGAATTGGAAAGGAGACCATGATTGACCAATTCACTGAAGCTGGAATTGGAAAGGAGATCACAACTGAACGATTCAGCAAAGTGGGAGTTGGAAAGGACACCGTGACTGACCAGTTCAATGATGTGGGAATTCGAAAGGAGACCATGACTGATGAGTTCAGTGATGCTGGAATTGGAGAGGAGACCATGGCTGATCAGTTCAGTGAAGTGGGAAAACAAATGATTTATGTTAAAAATCAGATAGGCAGAATAACCATAGCAGAAATGACAGAAATAGCTGGTGAAGAGGAGAAAAAACTAGCTGTGGTTGAGAGTAGTTTGGATATCAGTGATGTGGAGGAACTGGCTGAAGCTCATGATAGTACAGAAAATGCCGTGTTAGATATGGAGGAATCACTACTCAAACAGAAGGCAGATATGGAAGCAAAAGCACAAAGGCAGCTATTGGAGAATCTTGCTGATGAAAATTTTTCAGAAGGGATTAAAGTATTCGTTGTTCCACAAGTGGTGAATCCTGACCAAGTTATTGAAATTTTCTTTAACCGAAGCTTATCAGCTTTAGCAAATGAACCTGATGTTTTGATCAAGGGTGCATACAATGGTTGGAGATGGCAATTTTTTACTGAAAAGCTGCAGAAAACTGATCTTAAAGGGGATTGGTGGTCTTGTCGACTTTCTGTGCCCAAGGAAGCATATAAAGTGGATTTTGTCTTTTTTAATGGTGCTGATGCATATGAGAATAATAATTCAAAGGATTTTTCTCTACCTGTAGAAGGTGGTATGGATGAAACTGCTTTTGAAGATCTCTTACTTGAAGAAAAACACAGGGAAATTGAAAAACTTGCTGCAGAGCAAGCTGAAAAGGAAAGGCAGGCTGAAGAACACCGCCAAAAGGCAGCAGAAAAGGCTGCAAGTGAGGCTGACAAAGCGCAAGCAAAGATCGAGGCAGAGAAACGAAGGCATCATTTGCATCATCTGATGAAATTGGCTTCAGAATCTGCTAGCCACATATGGCAAATAGAGCCTAATTTTTTTGAAGGAGGTGATAGAGTGAGATTGTATTATAACCGAAGTTCCCGTCCACTTGCTCATGCCACAGAGATCTGGATTCATGGTGGTCATAACATCTGGAGTGAAGGACTGTCCATTATCGAGAAGCTTTCCCATTCTGAAAAAAGAGATGGTGATTGGTGGTCTGCAGATGGTATGCCTTGTTATAAGTTTGCTCCTTTATAACTGATGTTCAGTTTTTTGTGGATGTTAATACTTGATAATTCTGAAGCTTATGCTGGCACTAGGTTTTTGCTGATATGTGAAGCCTTCTGCCTCATCACAACTGACTTGGCACACATTTTCACTCACATGGTTATCATTTCATGTTTGGTGTCATTAACCAAATTGCATGAATGTTCTGATGGAATACTTGATTGTTCCTCGTATTTGTTATTGCAGAACAAGCAAAAATAATTTAGGTAAGAAGTTAATAATATGTTACTCGAGGAAGAGCAATAGGATATGGTTGTTGATCAGTTGCAGGGACAAGTTGTGAGAGTTGGAGTTGAACACATATCCAATTGTCTGATTCCTTTTCATGAAGATAACCAGGTTGGAAACAAAAAAGGAAGAGGATAGAGCACTTCCAATCATAATGTATTTAAACTTATGGGACCAACATGCTATTATTGAGATTGGAGGGAAGCAAAAGACAATATCGAAAAGGTTGTCTAAAAGAAATCTTAATGATTATGAAATCAACTCATCCATCAGTTATTTTGGTGATTTGTTGTATGATCATTTAAATCAAATTATCCATCAGTTATTGCTACTTGGATCAGAATATTTTGGTGATTTGTTGTATGATCATTTAACAAACTTTTTAACAATTGCTGGTTCCTTTTTATGCAATGAAGGGATTCAAGGTGATTTTTTGACTCGAGTAATATTGTTGAGATTGATTATTTATTAATTTTCAATAATTTATTCAATTTTTAGAATGTTAATCTCCAAAGTTCTTGATATCTATATTTTTAATCAAGATCTACATAAAAGGTTCTTAAGTCCATTTTGGAATTTGTCTGAAAAAAATTGACTCATTTAATGAGTAAACGACTAATTAGTTTAAGAGTTCAACTTGATATATCTCTGATACCTAATGTTAAAAAGTTTGATTTGTATCAAAAAAATTACTGTATTGGTCGGTAATGGTCAGATTTTGATTGAAATCAATCAACAACCTAGATTGAATTGGTTCCAACAGTCAATTTGATCGTTGGACCGATTTGAATACCTGTTTAACCCTATTTCAATCTCACATCTTCTAACACTCTTTCTCACTTAATCACTCTTTCGCACAAATTTCTTGCTATTGTTCAATATCAACGGGCAAACCGTTTTGAACGTGTCGCAAAACTGCCCAATCTCTGAAAAATATAAATCCTCTATCCCTTTCTAATTTGGATTTTTTATTTAAGTAAAACTAAATTTGCATTTAATTCTAATTAAAATATCATAATTTAAGCTTTTTCCTAATTTTTCATGTATTTTCGAAGATTTTTTGGACATTTTTTGGAACTGTTGCCATGTTTGGGTGTACAGTGTGTCGGTATGCTGGTCCTGACCAGTACATACCAGACCAGCCAAAGAATGACACAGCCTGACGGCACGAAATTACATTCCTTGGTCTCAAGTGTTTAAGATCCCTGTAGCACGCACTTCTCCCTTTTAAACTTAATAAAAGCATGTGCTTTTTTCCAACTGGATTAAAAACATGAAGAGACTTTCTGAACAATCTTATATATAATAGAATAAATATTCAAGAGTTAGGCTGCACTTTGAATCACACGGTTTGGAAGCAAATTAGTCTCTTATGCTATAAGATGAATAACATAATAATTTTTTTACCTTAACATGTTCAGCTTAAGTGCTCAACTGCTTATTAAACCTGAAGTTACCACATACGGAATACTCAAGTAATTTCTTCGCAGTTGTTGTACCTGATCGAGCACTGGTTCTGGATTGGGTTTTTGCTGATGGTCCACCAGGGAAGGCAGTTGTTTATGATAATAACAACAGGCAAGATTTCCATGCTACTGTACCAAAGAGCATGCCTGGAGAACTGTTCTGGGTCGAAGAAGAACACCGAATCTACAGAAAGCTTCAGGAAGAGCGAAGAGCAAGAGAAGAGGCTGTTCATAAGAAGGTTAGTATGATGGGCAGCCTGAATGATATAGTTTTCATGTTGGATAATGATCCTAGTTTGTTTATGTTAATTTTTGAGCATAACGTAAACTTTAAACTCAACTTCATCTAAATTCTTTTGGTTTTCACAGGCTGAGAAAACTGCACGCATGAAGGCTGAAACAAAGGAAAAGACAATGAAAATGTTTTTGCTGTCTCAAAAACACATAGTCTATACAGAGCCAATTGATGTGCGAGCTGGAAGTGTTATCACTGTTTTATATAATCCCTCCAATACAGTTCTAAACGGCAAGCCAGAGGTTTGGTTTAGATGCTCATTTAACCGTTGGAGTCACCATAATGGCCCCCTACCACCCCAGAAAATGGTGCCTGCAGAAAATGCTTCACATCTCAAAGCAACTGGTAAGACTTATCCAGTAAAAAATCTTAAAGTACAGTTCTACAAGTCTATCATCTAATCCCTTGGATGATTAACATCTTGTCAAATATTACTTTCTGTGATTTTTTTAGTATAGTCCATGTAAAGAAATTCTTTTTACCAGGACCTTTTGAGGGGCCCTAGGTGAGGCATCTTAGTAGGCACTGTCTAGTCTCAGTTGAGGCGTTGGCTGATGAGGTGCTTGCTTTGTCCCTCTTTGCCTGTCCAATAAGCTTTCCACCTGCCACCCACACATGACCCTCTCTTTTTCTATTTGTTTCCTAAATACTATCTTTAATCTTAATTTAATGCAACCATTCTTATAAAGGAAAAAAACAAGCTGTATCATCAAAGATCATATGATAGTGCTAACGCGTCAAATGCAAAAGATGATTTTCTGTAGATCACAAATCGACATGGGGTGATGTAGTGAGGACATCTATGGTTGGAGAAATAAGTATATCCACTGAATAACAATCAAGATTAAAGACAGTGCAAAAACAATCATACAAGGATAGCAAATGTTGAAGGCGAGGAAGTTGATTCTAACAAAATATAGGAACAGATGGAGGTGTATGAATTAGGTGGTGGAGGAGATGAGATCACTGATGATGTTGATGATGAGAGGATGGGCATGATGATTACTTAAGCACTTAAAATTGACAGATATATGAATCTTTTTCGCTTTGCAATTTACATATGAACTAATTTCATTATCATTTGTTGTATGAGTGCTTATAGATGGCTAGATTTTATGTAATTTGGTTTTTTGGTGTCCATCATCTTACATATCTAATGACAACTTGTATTTTGATAGAAGCTCATCCTTTAGTAATTATTCTTTTTATTTTTATTTTTGTAATTTTTCTAAGGTAAGCACCTAGAACCTCAGGCAATAAGGGAGCTTGGCATCTTATAGCACTAGCACTTCCAAGTTCTAACAACATTGGTTGATAACTAACAATCTTCTTTCTGTTAAACGGTCAACTTTGGCAATCTTGACCTGGACCTATGTGGTCAACCTGATCCAGATCCTATAGCTGACTACAATTTCATGTTAGGTTGGATTCAAATCAAGCTCATGTTCCTTTCAAAGTGAGGCTCAACTCAATCCAACTTGGTGGTTGACCAGAATAAAAAGAACATTGTCTCAGTCCACCAATCCAACATCACTAGCTTTTTCCAGCCAATTTGACCCATCTATGGTGATGGTTTTGTGAAATCTTGACCTGCTGATGTGTTGGAACTCGTTCAGGTTGGCCTATGTATCCAGTTATCCATTCTTGACATAATCCAAGTCCATCCTAAACTGATCAATTGACATCTATAGCAACGTTTGCTTTATCGTTCAAGTCGGTATGGTATGGGTGGTATGGATCGGTCCAACTGACAACCAAGACGTGGATCACCCTAGTCCTAGTTGGCATGCCCCAATGTGCCATATGTTGGTACATTGGTACAGACTGGTATGCACCAACCCAATAAATCTCCGAGACGGGTCCGGTGCCTGAAATGGCGAACCCTGATATCTAGTGCCAAGTAATTTTAAGAGTAGCATTTTTTTCAGAAAATAATAGTAAGTTTCATCTGTAGGAAAAGCATTGCTAATTTATTTTCCGTGCTGCAAGTAAATGGTTCCTAGATTCTTCTCATAAGGGTGTGTTAGTTCATGTGGATATAGCATTTTAGATGTCACAGCGTAACAATCATCATCTTAGATCACTTGGGTTTGTTAATTATTGCAGTGAAGGTCCCAATGGATGCTTATATGATGGATTTTGTTTTTTCGGAGAGAGAAGATGGTGGAATCTATGATAACAGAAATGGGATGGACTATCATATTCCTGTCATTGGAGGAATTGCAAAGGAACCTCCCATGCATATCGTACATATTGCTGTTGAGATGGCACCTATAGCAAAGGTAAATTTAATGTGTTGAACCTTACATGCCCTCCATAAAACAAAGATAATTTAGGAAGCTAAGTGTAAGAACATAACCATTATTTGAAGTGATTAGTTCCACTAGAAACAAAATTTTGTATTATAGATTGTGAGTGATTGCTAAATGCTTGTCCTTGCACTTGTGCTGGACTTGTTTTGCTTCAGTTTACTATTAGTTTTCTGTTGGCATGATGTGTTTGAACCTTCTGCTTGCACAATGCACCTGCTTGAACTTATTAAAGGTAATCTTCTTCAACTTGTTTTTGTGGAGCACTCTTACTAGCATTACTACCTTCAGTGCTTTGCATTGACATAGAAATTGTACCTTGAACTGTAGGCTTCTTTAGATTCCTCTATTTGTTGCAGCTGGTCTTCCTTTTTTCCTTTCTGCAATTATTTTCCTGTTTTTGGCCTTCAACTAGGACCTTGTTGCCCTATGGGTTTATTGTTTTCAGAGTATAAAACAAAATGTCAATCATCAAATAGTAAATTGTAACATGGGAATTAGATTCTCATACGTATTCTGAAGATGTGATGTTTAACACCTAATCAGAGGTTTAAACAAGATTTATTATTTAAAGCTATATTTTCCTAAGTTAAAATAGGTTGCTGTCATATACTATTGCTTGATTGCCAGTCCTGACATTTAGCATTTGTTCATTATTTCAATTTTAACCAACCATGGATAATTTTTGGCAAGTCTTGAATACTGGAATGAGCAGTTTCATGTATATTTCTTTTGAATGATTATTTTGGTGAGGTACTCTCACAAAAAGTGCATTTTTTTTCGGTTTTTCCTTTCTGTCATGAATTGTTTTCTTAAAACTTCAGAGAGATTTTTATTTATGAATGCATTGCATAGACTTAAGTTTTTTTAGTTCTAATAGTAATAGAATGCATAAATATGAGAAACTGAGAGCAGGAATAGTGGCTTGCAAGGAAGGTACAACTACAAATTATCTATGGTTACTGCAGTTTGCAATTTTTTTTTTCTTATTCTATGAACAGGGCAATTAGAAGAGGCTTGTGAACCTGTAAAAAAATAATCAAGGGTTATAAAGGGCATTCACTTAATTTTCAGAAAACTAACTGACAATATGGAAGCAATGCACTTGAGTATAAAAATTTAAGAAATAAGTCTTATGACATGGCTATTTGCTATAAGAACTTGGATAGCTTAATGAAATGTCTGAGAGGTTTGTCATCTGTTTGACCTAAATTTACTCAACATTCTTTATGATTAAATGTCTGAGAGGTTAGTCACATCCTTTAAGCTGGTGACTATCTTATGATCTTTTTTCTGGTGGTGCCTACATGGCTAGCTAGAGTTTGGATGTGCTGGAGCCACTGAGACACAAGTCATGCTCGACTTGGCTTGTGGACTAGGTCCTCAAATGAAAAAGATACTCTCAAAACACAATCAGTACTTTACTGTACAAGTAGACATAATTTGTACTGTACACCCACAAGCAAGAGTTATGAACTTTGTTAGAATGGAGTTAGATACTCATCTAGGTAAAATGTAATTGATGACAAAGTGAACTTACATTCAATAAACTCTGTTTATTCATCTGTTCATGATAAGTTAAATCAGTAGCCATCATTTTTCTGGTTAGATGCATTTCTATTACTTCTTGAGCTTAAGAAAATTATTCTGCAGTTTCAGATTTAACAATTTGCTGTTTTTCATTATCTGATTAATTCTGAATTTTAATTTCTTTTATCACAGAGTCGGATGTCTTAACTTACATTATTTATGATTTGAACCAAATATCCAGCCTTATAATATTACTTATGATGGTTAATTCTCCAGCCTGTCCTTATTCTTTGCAGGTCGGTGGCCTTGGTGATGTTGTTACAAGTCTTTCTCGTGCTGTTCAAGATTTAGGCCATACAGTTGATGTTGTTCTTCCAAAATATAATTGTATGAATCTCAGTAATGTAAGATTATTTTGCTTCTTGCTGCTCAGTCATTTCCTTTTGTTAGTGCTTCTATCAAAAGAATCCGTATTTGCCTTTGCATGAGCTGAAGAAACTACCATTGATTAAAAATATTGATGTAGGACATGTGCATGAATGGGTTTTGTGTGGTTTTGAGAGTTTATATTGGTGCTTTTTTATGGTAATATTGTGAAATATATGTTCTGATTTGGTATCAAAATCCTGCTTCATGTAGTCAATGTCTCGCAATACACATCAACTGTTTAGATCAGAAATAGCCCAGTCCAATCCTGAAAGGGCTTGTTTTCTCAAGGGGTAAGCAGATCTTTAAATCCAACAGTTTTCAGTCAGGATAATTTTGATTAATCCCACCTACGAGGATTGCTGTGCCAATCAGCACAGATTGATATAGATTTAAACATGCCATACTAGAAGGTATTGACACACTCTATGCTAGCCAAGGTGCCAAGCACCCCTTGTCATGCTAGAATCAATGGACATTCCCTTAAGCTAAAAGACAGTAATTCTTAACCATCGATCCTAGTCCTTCCTATTGGAAATCTAATCAATTGCTTTTCTTTAAGAAAAAAACAATGCAATCGTCTGAATTCAACCGATATGGATCAATTCCAAAATGCCAAATCCTATGACCTATCTTGGTCCATCCTGCTGACCTTGGTCAAGAGATGGTAGAAATGGCTAGTTTCTAGTGGTGTGAGTTAAACCAAATTAAAAGCAATGATGGATCCTAGAAGATGTCTCTCTTGATAAAACTAATTGTGGGAAAAGGTTTGTCTAATGGATTTTAGATATTTTGATGCTTATAATTTCATTTAATGGTTCACATAATTGTGGAAAAAGGTTCCCCTTCACTTTAGACTTCAGTGGTGCTTATAAATTCATTTCTGATACATGTTTGTTTATATTGGAAAATTTTCTGACATGTTTCTTGAAATTTAGGTTAAAGACCTCCATTTCCGTAATAGCTTTGCTTGGGATGGAATGGAAATAAATGTTTGGTTCGGACAGGTTGAGGGCCTTCCTGTATACTTTCTAGAGCCCCAAAATGGGTATGTAGTAATTTTCTTTCTTGTGTGCTGTACATGTTCGTTACATTGGTTATCTTGAATACAGACCTCAAAGGACTGAAATTTTGATTCTTTAAGGTTCTGTAAACTGTTATGCAACTAAATCTGTACTTTTATTTATGATAATCTTATGCATTGATGCCCTTACAGATTTGGTTCAAAAGCTATGCAAAATCAGTGCAAGATATAGCTTTGCACTATGATTAGAAAAGACTTGGTATTAGCTGCATTTTAGTTGTCTTTTACTTTGTCTGACTCCTTTGTTCCATTTCTAGCTTGACCAAATTAATTTTTCTGCAAATTATAATGTGAATCCTCTTATACACTATATTTTAAAAACATTTTTAATATTAATGGCTTAATATTTGAAGTTCTAATATTTATATTGTATAAAAACCTTATCTCTAACCTTTTGGATCTTACTTCAAATTCAACCGACATCTATATATCGTACAATACTTCTTTTGTTATCATTTTAATTTTGATTATTTAGGCCTTCTAAATCCATGTACTGTCAAGTGTCCTTACTTTAATATTCGGTTTGCCATTATTTTCTCCTTTTTTGCTTAATTTTTGCCTCATATAGGTTTCATGATACAGCTCAAGGACCTCTTTTTGCTTCTTTATAAACAACCAAAGACTTTGAATTTTTGCTTTTGAACAACTAGTTGTATGTGAAATTATGAACTATTTTAAGTAATTAATATATATTAGTGTGAAAAGAGATTTTGGACATTTTTGAATTGGTTTTCTGTAGGACTCCAACTTCATTTTGGCTGAAACCTAACCTGATCATCAGGTTGGATGGTTGGGAAATATAAACCCATTATAAGTCTGGGTTAAGTTGGGGTTGACCCAAACCCAACTCAAGCCTGAGTTCTCTGGATCTGATATACTGGACATCTTGAGTCTAATGAAGATCTACTATAACCTGACCCAACTGGAACTCGACCCAATTAAATACATAGAATCTTTGTAGTTTGATCGAACCTAGTTCGGCCATGATATATCGTAACGCTAATCCCAACCAATTCAAGTTTAGCCCAATCTGTGATTGGGTTTAATTAGGGTGGGAAAGATACCAACATGAGTTCAATTACACTAGGTATAAAAAAACTCATTCTTTTAAAATTTCTTTTTTTTTTATTGTTATTATGTAAAGTACAATATGATATTATTAGAGAGAGCCAACATTTTGAAGTTTGTCATTCTACAACCTTGTGCAGGATGTTTTCAGTTGGGTGCATATATGGAAGGAATGATGATGGGCATAGATTTGGATTCTTTTGTCATGCTGCTCTTGAGTTTCTTCTTCAAAGTGGATTTCAACCGGTAAGTTAATAGAAAGACATGCATTCATGTGTCCTAATTTATCCTCTTGAAAGTTCTAGTCTCGTTCACTTAAAATTGGGCTTTAGTATGTGATGATTTTATCTTAAACAAGGCTTTTAATTTCGAATAATATTGCTCGTACCGTGCAGTACGTACCGGTTTGCCAACAGACTGGTATGCGGACCGCCCGCTACTGGGCGGTACCGTTGATTGGGGCTGTTTTCGCCCCGTTACCACCCTAAATTGGTCAGTGATGGTCGATTTCGATTGTCGTCGCTCGCTACCGGATGGTATTAGCTGAGGGAGAAGAAAAGGGAGAACCTGTAGATCCGATACCGCTCTCCCTCAACGATCCCATTATGTCACCGCCCTTCCTCGTCAGACGTCGCAGATGAGATGTCGTCTCCTCCTCGTCTGAGATGACGAGGCCTTGGTGTCGTCGGCGACTTCTCCTCATCCGAGCGGGGAGAAGAAGTCTTGGCGATGTCACGGGGAGAAGAAACCGAGCGTCGTCGCTTGTTTTTGTGCGGGGAGAAGGAAACCTTGGTTTCTTCTCCCCACGCGAGCAGAAAAACAAGGCAACATCGTATATATATATATATATATATATATATATATATATATAT